AATCATAACGATATAAAAGGTGATGTCATGACACGCTTATGGTGCTGTGGGTAGTGCCTGTGTCACGTCCACCTGATGCTGTCACACTATACTCATGGTGGCTGTTTGTTAGTGTTTACGGTGCTGCCATCTGCCTGTCGTGTCGTAAAGTGTTGTTGCTAAGTGTAACTCGAGACACGGTTATTAAAACGAAGAATTGATATGTTGTGATTTCATGTTGTATTTATTATTATCATTATTATTATCATTGGATTATATTCTTATGATGATTATGATTATCATTTTTGCTGTTATTATTTTTGTTGTTATTTTCAAAATTATTATTATATTCATTGTTATCATTATTATTGTTATGATTAATTAATCATTATATTATCATATTATTATTATTATCATAATCATTATCATTATCATTATTATATATTATTATTATTATTATTATTATTATTATTATTATTATTATCATTATTATTATTATTATTATCATTATCATTATCATCATTATTATTATTACCATCATTATTTTTAAATGGTATTATCATTATTATTGTTATTATTGTCATTGTTATTATCATTATTATTATTATTATCATACTATTGTCATTACCATTATTACTAGTATTATTATCATCAGTATTATCACTATTATCATTATTCTCGTTATCATCATCATTATCATCCATAAAGTCTATTATGCCTTGTATTGTAATAATCATAGCATTGTAAACGTTTGTTATTGAACGTTTCGTTAATAATCTGCTGAACGTTTCGATTACCACTCTGTAGTAATCGATAAACGTTTCTGTAACGAAATGGTAAACGTTTTTGTAAGGATCTGATAAACGTTTCCATAACTGGATGGTGAATATCTCTATACCGATATGGCAAACGTTTCTGTAACTTGATAAACGTTTCTGTATGGTGAATACCTCTATAACGATAGAGCAAACGTTTCTGTAAACGATTTGATAAAAAAAAAACGTTTCCATAACTGGATGGTGAATATATTTACAACGATATGGTGAACGTTTCTGTATCGACTTGATAAACGTTTCTGTATCGACTTGATAAACGTTTCTGTATGGTGAATACCTCTATAACGATAGAGCAAACGTTTCTGTAAACGATTTGATAAAAAAACGTTTCCATAGCAGTATGGTGAATATATTTACAACGATATATAATATAGATATATATATATATAAATATATCTATAATATATATCTTTTTATTTTTATTTTATTTTATTTATTTATTGAATATATTTACAACGATATGGTGAACGTTACTTATTTCTCAACCCTAGTATTACTAACGTTGTCTCATAGCAGAGTAACACGACACAACAGCTGTGCGAGTGTATGTGTGTGTTTGTTACGAATGAAGGTAATAATCAAACGGAAAACATGCTTTGTGAGTTGGGTGTATGTTAACAATAACAGTAATTAAGAAAACATCTGTGTGTAATTATGTTATCAACACATAGTATAACATACAAGGCTAATGATTTTGTGAAAAAGGTGTTATTATACGATAAATATGTGTTTAGCATAAATATATCGTATTTTTCTTCAGGACCGTATAATCAAAGGTATATCAGTTATATTTAGAAGGAAATACATGGTTTAGGTATGCTATTATACCCCAAAACCGTGTATTATGATAACAAGTATAACCTAAATATACCATATTTATCGTCCAGAATCATATTATCAAAAATCTATCGCTCATATTTAGGAGAAAAAAAGTTTAGCGAAAGAGTATTATCAACAGTAAAGTTTTCATTAAAGAAATTGCACTTTAAACACGTGTTATACCGATATAACATAGATATACCGTATCTACCCTTCAATATGATATGATTAAGGTAAATGGGTCATAGTTTAAGGGAAGCGGTGAGGCTTATGGATAAAATAGAAATATGAAGTTTTTCATGTCAAGCTAAAATTGTTGATGGGAATTTATATATCTATGCGTTTAACTTTATTATTATTATTATTATTATTATTATTATTATTATTATCATTATTATTATCATTATCATCATTATCATTATTATTATTATTATCCTTTTTATTTTTATCATTATTATTATTATTATTATTATTATGATTATTATTATGATTATTATTATCATCATCATTTTATTTACTATTATATTATTTTTGAGCATTGTGAAATGAACAGTAATCGCATATTTTCATAATAAAATTAAAATGATGAAAGGAAAATAATCATTTATTTAAAAAAAATCTTTCCTGCTATGTTGCAATGAGCTTAAAATTGCGATGAAAAGAATTCATTTTTATTTTTTTCGTCTTTTTTATTCATTATTTATATTTTTTTTTTTTGCGCTGGTGAATGAATTCATTTTTATTTTTTTCGTCTTTTTATTCATTATTATTATTATTTTTTTTGCGCTGGTGAATGGATAAGAATCAAATATTTTCTAAATAAGCTTAAACACGAAGAGATTTTTTATATTAATTGATTACCTTTTTTTATGTTTTCTTCAGTGGTGTGAAGTGAATAATAATAATAAAAAAAAATCATAATAAGCTTCAAATATGAAAAACATTTCATCTATTCATCCATTTATTTTCAATTTCTCCTCCTATGAAATGAATAATAAAAAACTATTTTCATAATAAGCTTCAAATATGAAAAATATTTCATCTATTCATCCATTTATTTTCAATTTCCCTCCTATTTTCCTATTTTTCTCATTTTTCTTTCCTTTTGCACGTCCATCTATTTATCCATTTATTTTCAATTTCCCTCCTATTTTCCTATTTTTCTCATTTTTCTCTCTTTTCGCACGTCCATCTATTCATCCATTTATTTTCAATTTCCCTCCTATTTTCCTATTTTTCTCATTTTTCTTTCCTTTCTCACGTCCATCTATTCATCCATTTATTTTCAATTTCCCTCCTATTTTCCTATTTTTCTCATTTTTCTTTCCTTTCTCACGTCCATCTATTCATCCATTTATTTTCAATTTCCCTCCTATTTTCCTATTTTTCTCATTTTTCTCTCTTTTCGAACATCCTGAACCCAAGAAACCTCAACCATTTAAAAAAAAAAATGACTGACACTCGTCATGGAACATCAATATGACCAACGTATGACAGAGGCGTGACAGGAGTGTAGCGAAGGTGTGGCCACAGGGTATTAAAAGCGGCAGGGTAGCGAGGCAGGGCACGGGAG